CAGTGTCCAGTACATACATCCTCAGGACGTTTTAACCCAATGAGTAAATGCGAATACGAACGCGGTTCTGAGTTTCTTAAAATGTTTCCTCGGCACTGAGGGGCTTTTAGGAGTATTTGTTGTTTCTTGCTATTTATATCGTAGCCATCTGGTATTTAAGTGTGAATGAATTGACGTTTCAAGCGTACTCACGTAGGGCTTTCTCTCCTGTCCTCACAAGGGAAAAAGACCTTGATGAAGTTCTGCAGACCCACTCAGTGTTTGTAAATGTTTCTAAAGGTCAGGTTGCAAAGAAGGAAGATCTCATCAGTGCGTTTGGAACAGATGACCAGACTGAAATCTGTAAGCAGGTGGGTTTTAACAGCAGCAGCATAACTGACCCTCATATCCATTTGTAATGTAAATACTTAGAGGTGTGTTAAACTTTTAAGTATTTTTTTTTTTTTTTTTTTTTTGGAGTGAGCAGTTAACCACGCAGTAATATGATCTGCCACAATATCACTTTTAGTAATTTAGGACATGGATTTTTTTTTTTTTTCAATTGACGTATAGTTGACATACAATGTATTAGTTTCAGGTGTACAACATAGTGATTCAGCATTTATACAGCTTATGAAATCATCACCACAGTAAGTCACCATACATAGTTAGGACGTGGATATTTTTTTCCAAAGCCTCTAGAAATTAAATTTTCTACTAACCTGCCTTATTTTGTTCCTTCACATACTTTTAATGTAATATATGTGAAAATAGAATTTCTATTCAAGTAGTTCATCATTTAGACCCTTTGCTAAGATTGCCTTTTCCCCTCCTAATCCTAAATAAGTGACATTTTGGAGCACAAGATAATCCAGTACATTCTTTAGGCAAAGTTCAAGTTATTATCTACATTTCAGTAGCGAGAGAGGATGAAATTTAATTTTCTCCTAAGTTATTCTTGTGGTTAGTTAACAAATAGTATGTAATAAAGACATTGCTGTCTTAAATTTGTTGGGATTTTTTTTTTCTCTTAGATTTTGACTAAAGGGGAGGTTCAGGTATCAGATAAAGAACGGCATACGCAGCTGGAGCAGATGTTTAGGGACATTGCAACTATTGTAGCTGACAAATGTGTGAACCCTGAAACAAAGAGACCATACACTGTTATCCTTATCGAGAGAGCAATGAAGGACATCCACTACTCAGTCAACACCAACAAGAGTACAAAACAGCAGGTTAGTGGTTTTTAATGTCATCAAAAAGTAGCCATAAAAATGTTTTCTCTGAGGAAATCGTTAAAATATCTAACAATAAAATGATACTACTAGAAAGCAAGTGGGTAGGATTTGGGGAGAGGGGAGGGAAAGAATGTATTGTACAGAGGAGAGGTAGATTTTTTTTTTAAAACTAAACACAAATATACATAGGACTCTCATCTCCTTATCCAAATCAAACTTTTAAAGATAAAACTTGGACTTTTAAAGAGTCATTGTAACTCCACTTTTTAGATTTTTTTTTTTAAACTTACATATAATTCACTTACCATAAAAGTCACCTTTTAAAAGTATATAATTCATTGGTATATTCAGAGTTTTCCAACCTTTCGTACTAATTTGAGAACATTTTCATTACCCCATTACCCCCTCTCACAAGCCCTTGGCAGCCTCTGTCTCTATGGACTTGTTTATTCTGAACATTTCATATAAATGGAATCATACAACATGTGACCTTTTCAAGGTTCATCCATGTTGTAACATGTATTGGTACTTCATTCTTGCTACTTACATTGTTCTTGCAGACAAATATTAACATTTTTATGACTGAATAATATCCCATTGTATGGAAATACCACATTTTAATTTTTCATTCTTTAGTAGGTGGACGTTTGGGTGGTTTTCCACTTTTTAGCTATTGTGAATAATGCTATGAAATTCATTACAGGTTTTCTGTGGACACATATTTTCATTTCTCTATACCCAGGAATGAAATTGCTAGTCACATGGTAACCCCTGTGTTTTACCTTTTGAGGAAATGCCAAATCATATTCCAAAACAGCTGTACCTTTTTACATTCCCATAATCAATGGACAAGGGCTCCAGTTTCTCCAGGTTGTTGACAATTTGTTACTGCGTGCCTTTTTTAGCCATCCTGGGGTTAACATTCTGGTTTGATTTGCATTTCCTTCATGACTAATGATTTGAGCATATTTTCATGTGCTTATTATATTGACCCTTTGTCTCTCTGGAGAAACCAGTGTTCGGATCCTTTGACCACTTTTTGCTTGGTTATTTGTCTCTATTATTGAGTTGTAAATTTTTCTATATTCTAAATACTAGTACCTTATCAAATGTATAATTTTCTAACATTTCCCCATTCTTTGGGTTGTCTTTTCAGTTTTTGGAAGCACAAAAGTTTTCATCTTAAAGTCCAATTTACCTATTTTTTTCTCTTTATTTGCTTGTGCTCATGTCATATCTAAGAAACCATTGCCTAATCCAGCCAGATGGAAACAGCTGTGTTTTGAATACCTTATGAAATAAGGCAGCAGAAGCAGCAAAGAAATTGCAAACATTTTCAATTTTGTCTTGATAGGCCTTGGAAGTGATAAAGCAGTTAAAGGAGAAAATGAAGATAGAACGTGCTCACATGAGAGTTCGGTTTATTCTTCCAGTGCATGAAGGAAAAAAGCTGAAAGAAAAGCTGAAGCCACTGATCAAGGTTATAGAAAGTGAGGACTACAATCAACAATTAGAAATCGTAAGATTAAAAGATTCTTATTTCTCTGTCTCCCTGTTACCAAAATAGTTTCTTCTCTAGTCATAAATGTATAACAAACATTTAGAAGGTGTGAACAGAAACATCTTACCTAGAATTAGGTAAAAATGTTAAGGTCTAAGTAGAACTAAATTGTAGTTAAACACACTTATGATTTTTTGTTGTTTTCTAGTTAAATTATGATAAAATCATGCTGGTCATGTGACAAAGCATTAACCTCCTTGTTTAAAGATTTATCCAGATTTTAGATGAGAATATATTTTACAATGAGTCTTTGTTTAAAGATTTATCCAGATTTTAGATGGGAATATATTTTACAGTGAGTCTTATATTATAGGGAAATAAAAGACTAAAAGTTGATCAGTCTCATTTTTTTTAGAGAGAGAGGGAGACATCGATTTGTTTTCCCACTTATTTATGCATTCATTGGTTGAGTCTTGTATGTGCCCTGACTGGGAATTGAACCCAAAACCTTGGCGTATTGGGACGGCGCTCTAACCAACTAAGCTACCCTGCCATGGCACCACAGAACATTTTAAAGCAGCAGCAAAGACATTGTGTCTCTGAGTCATCACTGCATAGCTTCTGACATAGTGTAAACTCAGCTTTACAAATTCATGTCCCTAGACTTTGTAGCAGCTTTAGAAATAAATGAGGTCCAGAGGATTGTTGAGCATTCCACTTTAGATGTGAAACAAATCTGACACTCTCTGAAGTTCTAAAATCCTTTCAAAATTTTATGCATGATTTCTGTATAGGCCTTCAAGTTTCTTTCTCTCCTTCAGGTATGAATAAAAAGAGGTGATTTTATTAAACTATAAAATTTCATGCTGAGTTTCTGTATGAAAAGGACCATAGTCGTCTCATCCAACCATTTTCTCTCACAGCTGAGGAATCCAGATAACTCTTCAAGCAAGGAGGTTATGCCTTGTCACAGGAGCCTCCAGGCACACTTAGGGGCAGGGGCTGGACTACAGTCTGCTGCCCCAGGCGTTGTCTTCTGTGTTGCACTGTAGAACTGTAGTAGTAGAGATATCTGGAAAGATTTGTGTTTGTTTTAGAGGAAGTTAAAGTTGTGTTCATTCTGTATTGTTCCTCTTCGTGTGGTCAACAGCTGTGTTAAATGTTTCAGGTATGTCTAATTGACCCAGGCTGCTTCAGAGAAATTGATGAACTAATACAAAAGGAGACAAAAGGCAAAGGTTCTTTGGAAGTGCTCAATCTGAAAGATGTGGAAGAAGGAGATGAGAAATTTGAATGATGTCCATCAGTCTCTTCAGCTTTGAAACACTAAAACATTTTTATTTCCCACAGTCCTGTTTTCTTTCTGTGATTGCCAAATACTTGCTCAGACTAGTTTATGTTTTCCATCTTTGGTTAAACAAAAAAGACCTTGTTAAATAAGTATTATAATGTGTGGTTAATTTAGTTTTATTTGTAAATTTAGGTGTTAGGTAAAAATGAAAAATTCAAGATACAAAAGTCCAGAGTAGCATTTTACTGTGTTGTGCCTTTGTAGCTTTCCAAGGTGAAAGTTATTTGAGGCAGCTCTTGTGGATAAAAAGTTAAATTTTGTACATTATAAGATTAATTTGGGGAGGATATATCTGTATAACAAAAAGGGAGTATTTGCTGAAAAAGAAAACTCTTATTTCTACTTAATGAAACGCATGTATAGGAGTAACTATATCGTGGCCTAATATAAAGCTTGGGTAATGGCTTCCTGATTATCTGAAAAATATATATGACTGTGCAAGACTTAAATAATTTTCATTAAACATGCTGCCATAACCTAGATTATTCCCAGTTTAAAAAAGTCATTTATTTCTAATTCTAAAGTTTATAATATATGTTAATATAGCTGAAATTATGAAGTCAATAAAACCACTCTTTATTATAGTTATTAAGCTATGGCTTGTGTTTCTGGACAGCTTCCTTCCTTCCTTTTCCCCTCTGCGTCTTACCTGGTGGGGTGAAAGAGTCATTAGCACACTTAAATGTCAGTATGAGCAGCACTTAGAACAGGGCCTGTTCTGATAAACACTTGCTATATCTTAGCTGATATTATTGGAGATGTAATTGAATTTGTTTTAGTATTAACACTTAAATGGGCAACATGCAAGTTTTTAAAAATCTACTTGTCCTCAAAAGAGATTCTAAAATCCGCGTTTCACTCAAACATAGATGCATTTTGTGGACAGAATTTTTTCAACTGAAAAAGAGTTCTTTAACAGGTTCTGAAAGCACACAGAATTCACTGCTAATCTAAGTTCCCAGAAATGTCCTATTTTATAATGACTTCAATTGAAATTATGAAGTCAAATTTTTTTTTCTTGTGTCAAAAAATATTCTTGTTTGATAACATGGGGGACACACATTCTGCTTATGTTGAAAATGAAGTTTGATATAATCCTTAAGATGACCCTCTCACTGACATCATTTTAGTTGTGTAATGGAAACTTGAAGTCCCTGGAAATAATTTTAACCAATGAAGTTTATTCTTTATAGCTTAAGTAGTTAGAGCAGTGTTTCAGGTCAAAACTCAGAGTTACTAAAAATTTTCAATAACTACATCTTGAGTAGGAAAAGAGAAGCAGTTACTTCAACACTGCCTTAAGTTTTTCTCATTTCATTATTCATCTCTAAAAAGCTGGAGTTTTTAAAAGTCAGTGTAGATCACATCTGAGTCATGCTTCTGACCTATAAAAAATGTTTACCTTATGTCAGTGATTTCTCATGGCACATATAAACTAATTACTAAAATTCTGCAGCACACCAAAAATATTTGTCAATCTCATCAAAACAAAACAATTTTGATTCATTCACACCAGACGGCTATTGTGTTGGCTGTTGTCATTTTTTTATTTGAAAAGCAGTCATTGTCCCTGACTAATCATTCAGGTATTGCATGTTTTAAAAATTCTTGCAGCACATCAGTTGAAAATCGTTGCCTTATATTGGTCTCATTACTCAGTAGGGCGATCATCTTCCCAGTACCACTGCTCTAGTGGGTTATGTTAAGGATTGATCTGTTTTGCTTTTTCAGTGCAAGCTGTATTTTGTACATTTGGTCAGGATGATGTTTTAGAATTAACCCTCTTCAGCTTCCCTTGCATCCACACGCAATTATGCACTCCAGCCTATGGAACCTCTTTCCACTGAAATTCTCTCATAGGCCTCGATTTCACCCTACATTGTATAATAGCTGCTTAAATACCTGTCTGGCATGCTAGATTGTGAGCTCCTCAAGGGCAGGAGATTTGCCATTTGTGTGTATCCCACCATGGTTTGGAGCAGTAGGTAAGGAATAAATGTCAGCAGAGTAATAAGCATGGATATTCCAGCTTCACAACACTGAACAAACATAGTTGAATAACCCACGGCCCCTTCCAAACACCCCAGGAAGAGTCATTAGTTTCACCAAATTCCTTGTTGAATTTCTATAGATTTTTGGTTGGCAGAGAATGGAGATACATGGGTTGAGGAATTGAAGAAAGTCATTTTGCAGAGAAGAGTGGACCTGTCTCCTACATTTACATTAAGATTTTTTGTCTGGTGAGCCACTTGAATGCCAAAGGATTCATGAGTGGCCCTCTTGTGGACAAGCATGACTGACATGATTTTCAAGGGAAAAGGTCCGTAAGCTGATTTCTTACTGTCCTATGGAGATAGAAAAGGTCAAGAGGAGGGATCTTACATGTAATTAAGGTAAAATAGTTTGTGGATAAAACTTTGCAGATTATAGAGTTTTTTGGGTACACACTGGCATGACAAAGGAGTAATTTGAAAGAAAGCATTTCTTAATGAAATTTGTATAAAGAAATAATTGTGTAACACTTGAATGATAACTGCCTAATTTTCTCATAGAGTGACTGTTCAGGAATTCAGGAATTTTATTGAATTTGATGCCATAATTAAGGTTTCATAATGTGAAATATTTTTAAAAGGACTAATTACTGCAGTTGTGATTTTGCTTTGAAGTAAACATCAGTTAAAGAACATTACAGCTATGTAAATAAAATTGTCTGTTACCAAATCAAGCAAAAGGAGTTATATGGATCTTTTCCAGATATGGAGAGTATAATATGAAATATTCATGAAGCTCACTTTGGGGCCCCTCTAATAAAGACAGACATTTTCCAGAGCAGTGGAAACCGGGTACAAAAAAGCTGTTATGACTTCAACCAGGAAAGCTGAGTGAGCATCTGGTATTAAGTGGCCATGGATGGAGAAAACAAATTGCTTACATATATGAACCTCCAATTCGAAGTCACAAAGGCAGTCAATCACAGGCATTGATACACCACAAAGCTGCTTATCAGGGCAACTCTACATAGTGGGTTCTTGTGTCACAGGGTCAAAGTTTTATTTACAATATAGTTCATTCTCCCAGGCAACCTGAGGAAGTAAGCTGGTCCTTAATAAAATGTTTATCCGCAAATGCCAAAATCCTTATTCTCAACAATAATTCCAAAGTTTATGAGAGCAATAGCATAAGAATTTTTAAATGTTTAATATAAGAATTTTTAATAAAATGTTTAGAAATGTTTCATAAAATGATTGCTCCCCTCCAACTCCCTGCTAAAGCAACTCCAAAATTACTATACTGTGGCTGACATTAAGAGTCAGGAAGAAAGCTTGGATAAAGGCCTACCTAGCTTTTAAAGCTTGAAAAAGATTAGTCAAAAGGAAATTGTATTAACCAAACAATAAAACTTTCTATAAAGCTGCAGTGGTCAAGGCAATATAGAATTGGCACAGAATGGGCCAATGTGGCAGAACAGAGCCCAGAGGTGTGGGCCCAATACCCAATATAGATGAAGATGTATTATAAATACAGCTCTGGTTGGCAGAATAATGCCCCCACCCACCCACTCAACTAAGGAAAAGATGTCCATGCCCTAATCTCCGGAACCTGTGAATATATCTTATATGGCAAAAGAAATTTTGCAGATGGATTTAAAATTACCTTAAAATAGGGAGACTATCCTGGATTATCCAGGTGGTCCCAGTGTAATCACATGAGCCCTTAAAATGGACTAGAAAAGCAGAAAGACTGGTTCAGAGAAATGAAACAATGGAAGAAGGGGCAGGAAAGATCTGAAGTGTGAGAGGTGCTTAAGGCATCCTTGCTGGCATTGAAGGTGGAGGAATGGAACCCCGGGTCGAAGAGGACAGCCAGCCTCCAGAAGCTAGAAAGGACCCTCAGTTGACAGCCATCAGGGAAATGGAGGCCTGGAAGGAACTAAATTCTGCCAACAACCTGAGGCAGGAAGGAAACATGCTCCCTTAGAGTCCCCAGGATGGAACACAGCCCTGCGGACCCTTTGATTTTAGCCCAGTGAGACTGCACCGTGCTTCTGACATATGGAACATTTGCGCATTTCAAACTGCTAAATGTGTGGTAACTTGTTATGACAAGTAGAAACTATAGATTATGGATATTTCATTATGATCAGCAAAGAATGGTTGGTTCGCAAAATGACATCTGTATAATTGGCCATATATCTAACAAAGTTCGACTCTTACCTCGTAACAGAAAAAATAATAATTCTACATGAATTATAGGACATAGTGTAAAAATAAAACCAGGAAAATGTTAGAAAATATAGGAAAACAGTAAAAGAGGCCTTCTTAAGAAAAACAGGAAACCTAGAAACTATAAAAGAAAATACTAAGATTTAACTACACATTAAGGTGAAATTTCTGAATGACAAAAGACAAAGTTTAGAGAAAGCATGGTTGGAAGAATACATGTGCAACATGTAAGACATACATGTGCAACATGTAAGGTGAAAGGCCAACAAATTAGAACAAGCAATTAAAAGGTCTTACGATCATCCTCAAGCACTGGAAATATGGATACATTAATTTTAAAATAAATGCAAAATAAGAGTCAACTTAGAGCAATGTAAAATAATGAGAAGCCATTTTCTATTTATACTGAAAATAGATTAATTCTGATATTGTCAAGGATATGGAGGAACAGGCACTTTCAGGCATTTACTGATGGAAGTATAAATTGCTATAATCTTTAGGGAAAGCAATCTGATGGTATCTTTAAAGTATTAAATATGCACACCTCTTGATACAGCGATTTTATTTAGGTGTCTATCCTCCAGAAATAAAATTATCTAGATTCTAAGGAGATACATACAATGATATTTTCTGCTTGTAAGAACTGAAAATAACCATCAATAGCAAATAGTTAAATAGAGATACCTCCTTATTGTAAAATAGTAAGTAGTTATTCTTCTAAATGCGACATATCTACCTGTGTATCCTGTTAACCTAAAAATAAACTGCCTTTCAAAGTGTGAAGCAACAAGCAAATATCTGAGATCAAAGAATAGCTATTCGGGCGGGACACACTGGTTCAGGCAGAAGCCCAAATAGTGTTCTGATTAGGAGACAAAGGCATTGGGTATTTATGAGGATCCCTTTGAAGGTCCTCGGGGAGAAAATAAAGGCTTCAACGCAGCCAGAAGAATTTACTGCTTGTCTTGGCTTAGAGTTTGATAAGACATTTGCAAGGATTTTTTAAAGGGCTGTCCCCTAAAACCAATGTCCCGTCGGTAGCTATGTGAGGATCAAATGAAAAGAAAGACAAAAGGATTATCATGGCTAGCCTGAGACACACTCCCTTAACAAACTAAAGAACAGAAATCAGACTTGGAACAAAATTTAAATCTATTTACACTATCAAACCACCCACTATATTACATTGTAGTCGTGCAATCTTCCAGACAGACGCCTGGAGAAAATCCTCCCCAGGATCACAAATGGCCAGACCCTTTGCCAGGTCCTCCTGCCAATGGTCAGAACTTGGGCCCATTTGGGGGCTGATATTCAGGGCGTGATAGGAGCTATTTGAAGGCCCTCTCTCCTAAGACTAACTGGGCC